TATGTGTGTATATATGTAAATACATATATTTGAATAAAGCTTTAACTTTATTCAAATAAAGAGTGATAATGCTTCCCCCAAAAGCCATTGACCATCTAACAAAAACCTCTTGCCAGAAAGAGAAAACATGCTTTCTAGTTGTGACTAAGGAAATCCAAGAGATTCACAAACAATATAGGTTATTGGCATTGTCCTTGGCTACCTCCCAACACTTGAAGATAAAACCTTAATGCTGAAGAAACCATAAACCTCAGACCTAGGGCTTGGAGGGATTGAGTTGGAACTGACCTGAAAGCCTCTTCCCTGGGGACTCTCATAGTGTCTAAAGGTGCTGTATAAGCTGCTAAGGTTGAAAACTAATCAACAGATCCATCTGCAAAGCCTACGAATCACAAGAACGACCAAGATAGCAAGATGTGCCTAAGCACATGACAGTGGCACTAATATCTTATGGGCAACCAATAGTGTACTAGTTGAACTTAAATCCCACTCGATAGGTGGAAATTTATGTCTGTTAAACTAAGTCAAAAACTTGTAGTTGGCTAGGTCAGAGCCAGTAGAGGAGACCCTACTGTTGCCACTGTCCTATACTTCCTAAATGCATTCTAAATACTTATACTTGTGCACATAGATAAGTGGACAAGTTACTCCTCACCACTGAATCTTCTTTTTACTGAGGATGGAGATCATTACAGAAAGCCACAACTGGTCAAAATTAAGAGAACAAATAATGCTGGGTGCCCAACATCAATTGATACATCTGAAACACAATCCCTACACCTATGATTCCAGAAACATCTCATAAGATGGGATGCATGTTAAGGGCTAAAGAACCATCAAGACTTCTGAGAAATTGTGTCTTTTATCTACAGAAATAAATCTGCATCTGTGAAATCATAACAATATGGTCACCTAAACTAGACCTGAAGAATTATACCAACTAACATGCCAACACATGTAGGGGTGTGAGTGGAGAGAATTTCGCAAGCCTAGATGAAGAGCTACATGCATTTAATGGTTTTGGGGAGAAAGATATTCAGTATTCTCCAGGGTCAAGCACCCTGATATATTATCCAATCTCAAGTGGCCAGTCTGAAACACATATACCATATGAAACCAGCAGGATATATTTTTAAAGGCAAGGTCATGAACTTGAGATGGTGTTGGGCTAACATGAGAATAGTTGGGAGCAGAAGGAGTAGTAAGAATGATGTAATATAATACTTATGTGATAGTCTACAAAAAAAGCTAAAAATTCACTTGAAATTCTAAAGATGAGAAATGTTTGCCTTAACAATTCTCATGTGACTAGATTTTACATAATTAAGCACCACTCACAAGTATCACTCAGTAGTGTCAAGCAGTGTTGGAGCACTACGGTTTCCCAGTGAATAATCTATTACTAACATCAGATGGAACAGGTCATAGAACTTCCTAACTCACTTGCCTGACATAGCAATCTCTTGAGTGGACTGAGAAGCCAGTGACATCTAGTGGCTAGGAATTGCACATAAACCTAATTGTGAGCTCAGGAGTCCTTCACTGCAAGAAACATCATGCAGTTTCTCCCAAGAGAGGAAAAGAGAAAACTCAATGAAAAATTTTACTTACTTTTGTTCTTTTTTTTCTGGAGATAGTGTCAGTATCATACCTTCAGGGAGCTAGGAGTGTGGTCTACACAGTCCCATAGTGAGATTGCAAATTAAACAAGTCTGGGGCTGGAGAGGCTTCAAGGTCTAAGTGCCCTTGTTGCTGTTGCAGATAACCTGGGTTTGGATCCTAAAACTCACATACAACCATTTTTACCTCCAGTTCTAGGGGACCTGATACCCTTTTCTTTCCTCTGCAGGTGCCGGCTATGTACACAATGCACATGCAAGCATCCAGGCAAAATGTTCACACACACATTAAAAAAAAAAAAAAAAATGAAAACGTTTCTACCCATATTCCACCTCCTTAGACTTTCTGGCAGGTAAGTTTATTGTCAAATCTATGAGCACCTTGTAAGTGTTAAAAACTTGCAGCATTCTTTCTCAAGTTACTCCTCTGTAGGCTGCATCCACACTAGACTTCTCTCTAGCTTGTGTTTCTCCTCACCTTGTGTCATGTTTTGTTGGATACCAATATATAATCCATTTTATGTCCTTGCTGAAAAAAATCAACATATGAACCTTTGGGGGGGTACAGTTTTTATTGTTGCCAGGCATAGCCATGCAAGTTTTAACCTTGACATGTCTTTTCCGTGGAGGAATTTTGGTTATCAGAGAAAGCTGTACCTCATGATTTTATGTTGATGAAAACTTCATCATCACCTTCTCAAACTTCTGTGAAAAGAAAAAAGTACAGTTAATAAGTTCAGTGTTATAGACTAATTTTAGAGTGGTTTGTTTGTTTTGTTGTAAGATTGTAGGTCTTCCAGACCCCTTCATTTTGGCTGACTCTCCTTTCCCACTCCCTCTCCACTATCTTCCCATCCTCTCTCAATTTATATTTTTCTGACCCCAGTATTACCTCCTCTGCTTGCATATTACCTGTGACCTGAGTTACTATCCCGTTTCTCTTAAGATATGCCTTCCCAGTGGCCTTTTCCCAACTCTGTCATCTACAGAAGCTCTAAACTGACACATAAAATAATGATAGAAAGCACATATGGGAGAGAACACACACTTGTTTTTCTCTGCATGGGTTACCTCACTCAGTTTAATTTTTCCCCAGTATCATACATTTGTCTGCATTTTTCATATTTGTTTACATCTGGATAAAAATTCTACTGTGTACACATACCACATTTTTATTATACATTCACCAGTTTGTAGAAATTTACACCAATTCCATAAATCAAAAGTAAGTATGAATGAGCAAGTATCTTGGCAGTAGTACATACAGTGCTTTGGTATATGCTTAGAAGTGGAATGATTGCATTTTATGGTAGTTCCTTTTTGAGAAATCTCCATACTGTTTTCCATAGTGGCTTGACCAGTTTTCATTCCTATCAAGAGTGAATTAGGGTTCCTCTTTTTCCACATCATTGCCAGCATTTGTTAAGATTTAATTTACTAATATTAACCTTTCAGACTGGGGTGAAATTAAATTTCAAAGTAGATTTAATTTAAAATTGTTACATCTATTGAACATTTTAAAAAGTGTTAATTAGTCACTCATTTCTTCCTTTGAGAATTTTTTTGAACAAATCTGTAGCTTGATTTATTTATTGGGTAGTTCATTTACTTGATTTTTTGAGTGTGTGTGTGTGTGTGTGTGTGTGTGTGTGTGTGTGTGTGTGTGTATGCTCTAGATATTAATTTTGTGTTGTACTATCTTTAGGTCACCACCTCTGACTTTGAAATTCCAGCCAACATTTCCAGGTATATTTCAATATTGTCCGGTCTGGCTCCTACCCATGGGGGAAAAATACATATATATATAATACACGGTTCTGCACTGAATTATACACTTAATGGAAATCTCCAAATCAATAATGTCCTGGCACAAAAGGAAGGCAATACAGATGTTAGAAGAAAGACCCACTCTCAACAGAAGCTATAATCAGAGTATAGGTCTTCTTCTGAGAAACCTCCTGCTATTTACTCATTCACACAAGCTAAAGGCATTTGAGGGGAGGGAACCTCAACTAAGAAAATGCCATTAGATTGGGTTGTAGGCAAGTCTTTAGGGCATTTTTTTAAATTAGTGACTGATAGAGGAGGACCCAACCACTGTGGATGGTGCCATTATTGGACTGGTGGTCCAGGTTCTGTAAGAAAACAGGCTGAGAAAGCCACGAGGAGCAAGCTGGTAAGTAATACCCCTCCATAGCCTCTGCATCAGCTCCTACCTTCAGATTCCTGCCCTGTTTGAGTTCCTGTCTTTGACTTCCTTTAGTGATGGACTATGATGTGAAATGTAAGCCAAATAAATCCTTTCCTCTCCAAGTTGCTTTGGTCATGATGTTTCATCGCAGCAACAGAAACCCCAACTGGGCCAAACCGTGTGTTCCTCTATCCCTGAGGTACCTTCCTGGAAGTTTTTGTTATTGTTGTTGTTGTTTACCACACAGTTTTCTCACTTTCATGTGGTCACTGAACCTCATATTGGCCCAGGAATGTGAGGACAACTTTCCACACATAGATTGGTTTATTGTTGGAAAATCCACAGCCAGAGACACACAGTAGATATTCATAGTCTGCTTTTAAGCGCAAATAGGGATAACAGCTTTGATTTAAAAAAGAAAAAAGTTATCAATTTCCTACTCTGTATCCCACATGACTCAAGTTCCTTGAAACAAGGGAATTTAGTACTCATGAAAATGAGATAGTGTACTGCACCCTTAGGGTTATCACGCTTAACGTTAGATTGAAGGCCTGTTTAACAAGAGGGGAACAATGGTTGGTACTGGAAACCTAGCTAACTATTCAGTGCTGGTGGCATCAGGGTTACTGAAAGAGAATCCACAACCATTAATTTACTAAAGAAGCATAATCCTTAAAAACAGTTATGTAAACATTTTTCTTTATACCCACAGATAAGTATAGTTTTCACACCTCATCATCTTTGCAACAGATGGGGACTCCCACAGAAAACTACCACCAATCAAAAGGTAGAGTTATAGAGCCTAGTCCCAGTGACTATGTCCACTAAACAATCTTGAACCTAAGGCTCAGGAAACATTGTGAAAGAGAGAGCAGAAGATAAGGGAATTTGCTCTGAGGTTGTGTATCATATCAATTGGCTGTCCAGTGTCAAATGATCAGCCCTGAAAACGTATATACAAGCAATATTATATGGACTAAACAGATTATATTTAGGAACACATATGTATATACAAATATGCATGCAATAACAATTAGTAGAAAAAGAGGCCGTGAATTTGAAGGAGAGTAATGGTGGGTGTATGGGAGGCTTTGGAGAGAGGAAAGGGAAGTTGTAATTATATTATAATCTCAAAAATAAAATAAAGAAAACAAAAGTCATTAAAGTATATATACTTAGTAGTACATACTCTACTGTTCTTCATCCTCGGAATTATCTTCTGTGAACACATTACTGATGCTGACTGTTGCTTCTGATATGTTAGATGCCCCATGGACAGCATTTCTCAAAATGTCTACTCCATATTTGGCTCGGAGGGAATCTGGGGAAAGAAGTTTTGCTTCTTCCGGGTCTACTGGGCCCATCATTCGTCTCCATTCTGCAATAGCATTCCACTTGGTCAGAGTCATGACTACAGATGTACCCCTGCAAATAGTGATTATTTTAGAAGGCAGCCTCCTTCAAAGGCATGGATTGCACACAGGGCTAAAGACAGAATGCTTCTGGTTCATCCAGAGCATTTTTCCTAACAATATGATCCTGTGCTTTCTTTGTTTTCTCCTTCTTCAACAAGTTTTGTGTTAGTTGAGTGCTGTAGTTTAATTCTAAAGAATTAATGTGAATAGAGTTACAGTTTCACTACTTTTGGGCCCACACAAACATTTTCATGTACCCAGGACTTTAGTTTCATGTTCACCCTTTACCCTCCAATCCTTTAGACTGCCTCCACTGCAGAAAGCCATCTTGCACAGGCCATCCTCACTCCCTAGGTGTGCTCTATCCAGTCATTGCCTGGCACCTGGGGCAAAGATGTTCTACCTCAGCTCATCGCAGAACCACTTGGATGGCCAGTCTAGTTGGTCAGTAGAAATTTTGGGTCATCTGTAGAACCCCCTTACTCTGACCTCTTCCTCCTGACCCTGCTGCCTCTCCTTCCTTCCCCACCACGGCACAGTTCTCTAAATATGTAGCCTGAATCATGAACTCTCCCCAGGAAATGCCACCTATAAGAGATGCACATGGAATCTTACTTAGTGTTCATGATGCAGGTTCTCAGTCATCATCACTTCCTAATGAAGTGGGTCTCATAGTTCCCTCTCCATTTTACAGGAAAGGAGATTTAAGCATAGTTCTGAATTGGCTAAGCAAGGCTCTTAAACCCTGACAGCCTCTAGTGTGGAGAGCTAAGTAAATAGAAGGAGGAAGGGATGAGAAGGAATGGAAGTAGGGAAGAAATTGGAAAACTAATGAACTTTAAAAGTTAACAAGGTGTCTTTTCATGAGTCAGATTAGATAGAAAGATGTTAAAAAATAATTTCTGTGTCCTACAGTTTCTGTCGTGTACAGTTACCATATCTACAATACAAACAACATTTCAGAAACTTACGAAGATAAGACTTCCAAGACATTTTTATAAAATTCTTTTCCTGTTATTTTGAAATAAATTTTGTTTGCATTCTCTGGATTCAGGTATATTTCCTTCAGCAGGGAGATCTCAAATCCTGCTTCTTTAATGGCTTTCAGGATCTCCACTAAGGAAACAAACATTAGGTAACATTGAAGATCATTCGCTCCATGATCATGGTTTATTCAAAATCAAAATAGTAGAGAAAAATGATAGCTCAGCCTGTATCTTGTGGTTTATCTACATGCAAAATTGTGTAAAAGCACCAGATTAATACTCAGAAGACCTTCAAAATTTTAGCATGAATGTCCCACTTTGATCAACTGATGGAGCATCAAAGTGAAAAGGAGATCTGCTGGCATAATAAACAGGAAGACATATTTTTATGATAATATTTTTATTTAAATTTGAAACAAGCTTGTTTTACATGTCAATCCCACCCCCCCTCACCCTTCAGTCCTCATCATCACTTGTCCCCTTCCCAATCCCCATCCCATTCCCAAATGTCCAAGAATGCCTTGTATGATCTGTCCTGGGGAAGAACCAAGGTGAAAATTATTTTCTGAAGTGAAGAGTTGCCACCAAGTTCACTATTACAGTGAATCCTGTAAGAATATCACCAATAGCCTGCACATTGAAATCTGCATTCTCCAGACCAAGGAGAACCAACTTAAAGACTTGGAGCTTTCTAGTAAAAGAGGAAAAGTGGGGAAAGACAAGATGCGGGGGGAGCGGAAAGAAGAAAGAAGACACAGCAGAAATTCACCTGACACCAGAGCATGCAAAGTAAATAGGAAAGAAACGATTTGTTTTTACTCCAAATAAAAACACTCTGAGGTACTGGGCAAGGAGGAAAAATGAGTGAGACCTAATCAACTGAAAACCTGAAGAAGCCTGGGCCTTTTCTGATGGTGAGGGAGATAGCTAGGATCTACCCCCAGGAGACCCTCTTTAGTAATACATGTGAGAGTACAAAGCATACAACAGAAATAGGCCAGTCCTGTAAATTTATCATAAGAAAATGATCTTATAAAGAATAATGTATATGGTTCCTAAACCAAGTAAAGGAAACAATTATCTCTGGACTCTCAGGGATTCTTATTTTTAGAAATGTTGACTTTTGTGGTTTGTGTTAGGCATGGACAGAACAAGGTGTTTTCAAAAAGGAGTGTGTCTTTTTTTTTCTTTTTCCTTTTTTTATTTAAATTTGAAACAAGATTTCTTAGCATGTCAATCCCAGTTCCCTCACCTTTCCATCCTTCCCTATCACCCCTTCCAAACCCCAGCCCATCCCCTTTCTGCTCCTCAGGGAGAATGAGGCCTTCCATGGGGGAGTCTTCAAAGTCTGTCATATCATTTGGGGCAGGGCCTAGACCCTCCCGCATGTGTCTAGGCTAAGAAAGTATCCCTCTATGTGAGATGGTCTCCCAAAGTCCATTCATATACTAGCAATAAATACTGATCCATTACAAGAGGCCCAATAGACTGCCCAGTCCTCCTAACTAACACCCACATTCAGGGGGTCTGGGTCAGTCCTATACTATTTTCCCAGCTATCAGACTGGGTTCATGAGTTCCACCTTGTTCAGGTCTGCTGATTCTGTGGGTTTCTCCAGCCTGGTCTTGACCCCTTTGCTCATCACGCCTCCCTCTCTGTAACTGGATTCCAGAAGTTCAGCTAGTGTTTAGCTGTTTGTGTGCTTCTGCTTCCACCAGCTATTTGATGAAGGCTTTAGGATGGCATATGAGATAGTCATCATTCTCATTATCGTGGAAGGACATTAAAGGTAGCCTCTCCACTATTGCTTAGATTGTTAGTTGGGGTCATCCTTGTAGATCTCTGGGCATTTCCCTAGTTCCAGATTTCTCCTTAAATCTATAATAGCTCCCTCTATTATGGTATCTCTTTTCTTATTCTCCTTTATTTTTTCCCTGTATCAACCTTCCTGTTCCCTCATGCCCACCTTGTCCCTCTTCTTCTCCCATTCTCTTTCTCCTAACTCCCTCCCCTCTCCCTCCATGTTTCCAATTTGCTCCAGAGATCTTGTCTCTTTCCTTTTCTCAGGGGACCACGTATGACACTCTTAGGGTCTTCCTTGTTTCCTAGCTTTTCTGGCAGTGTGAATTGTAGGCTGATAATCATGTGCTCTATGTCTAAAATCCATATATGAGTGAGTACATACCATGTTTGTCTTTCTGTGACTGGGTTACCTCACTCAGGATGGTTTCTTTTAGTTCCATCCATTTCCCTGCGTGTTTTAGGATTTCATTGTGTTTTTCGGCTGAGTAGTTCTTCACTGTGTAAATGTACTACATTTTCTCCATCCATTCTTCAGTTAAAGGGAATCTAGGCTGCTTCCAGGTTCTGGCTATTACAAATAATGCTACTATGAACATAGTTGAACAGATATCCTTGTTGTATGAATGTGCAGCTTTGGGGTATATACCTAAGAGTTGAATTACTGGATCTTGAGGTAGACTGATTCCCATTTTCCTGAAGAAACTCCATACTGATTTCCAAAGTGGCTGTATGAATTTGAACTCCCAGCAGTAGAGAAGTGTTCCCCATTCTCCACATCCTCTCCATCATAAATTGTCTTTGGTGTTTTTGATTTTAGCCATTCTGACAGGAGTAAGATGGTATCTCAGTGTTGTTTTGATTTGCATTTCCCTGATGGATAAGGATATTGAGCACTTTCATAAGTGTCTTTCAGCCATTTTAGATTCCTCTATTCAGAATCCTCTATTTAGCTCTGTGCCCCACTTTTTAATAGGGTTATTTGATGTTTTGGTAACTAGCTTTTTGAGTTCTTTGTACATTTTGGAAATCAGCCCTCTGTCAGATGTGGGGTTGGTGAATATCTTTTCCCATTCTGTGGGCTGCCATTTTGTCTTGCTGACTGTGTCCTTTGCCTTAAAAAAGTTTCTCCATTTCAGGAGGTCCCATTTATTAAATGTTTATCTCAGTGTCTGTGCTACTGGTGTTATGTTCGGGTAGCAGTCTCCTGTACCAAGTTGTTCAAGGGTACCTCCCATTTTTTCTTCTAAGAGGTTCAGTGTGGTAGAGGTCTGTGACCCATGTGGACTTAAGTCTAGCAGTGTGTCTTAGATGGTGTTTCTACCACTATGATAAAACATCATGATTGAAAACAACTTGGGAGTATAGGGGTTATTTCATCTTATGCCTCCACATCACAGTCCATCTTTCGAGGAATTCAAGAGGCAGAAAATGAAGCAAAAATAATGAAGATGTGCTTCATACTGGCCTGCTCTTCATGGCTTGCTCAGTCTGGTTACAGTCCTCATTAAACTTATAACCAATCTGAGCCTTGGCCCTACCCGCACCGGGGAGAAACCAGGGGATAGCCCCAAAACCGTCCAGGGCTGTGTCTGCAACATCAGAGACTTGGCCCTGCCCTCACTGGGAGAGGCCCCACTTGCACACACTGGAGGAAGAGATGGGTAGATGACAGTATAAAAATGCCTTTGGCAGTGGAACCAGTATTTATCCCTAGTGCACAACTGGGCTTTGGAAGCCTATTCCCTATGAAGGGTTACTCTCTCAGCCCAGATACTGGGGGAGGGGGAGTGGGGGGCTAAGTCCTGCCTGAATAATGTGGCAGACTTTGATGATCTCCCTTGGGAGACCTTCCACTATCTGAGGAGTGGATGGATGGGGAGATGATGGGGGGGGCGGTGTGAGGGGATAGGAGGAAGAAGTGACTAGGATTGATATGCAAGCAAAATAAGATTGTTTTTAATTTAAATAAAAATTAATTTTAAAAAAGTTAGGACCATATTCCCAGGAGTGGTACTGCCCACAATGAGTTAGGCTCTCTTACATCAGTTATCAATCATCAGTCATCTAAAACAAATGTCCTATAGACTTGCTGGCTGTCCCACCCAGTGAGAGGATTTTTCTCAGTTGAGGATTTTTTCTTCTTAAATGAATCTAGCTTTTGTCAAGTTGAGAATACACAGTAGTACAATTAACCATTTGCCAATTGACCTACACATCACTATCCAACGACAACCTTACTGGTTCCTTCTGTCCTCTAGATGTCATGCTAACATTAACATCAAAATTTCAAACATCCCAACTTTTAAAACTCCAAGTCTACATAAAGCCCAATCTTTAAAGAACATCCAAAGCCTCAGACTTCAAGGCTCTCTCAAATATCTGGTCTCTCTGCACTCCAAAGTCTCTTTAAAAGTTCAAAGCCAACTGTGAGTGCCTGTCAAAATTCAAATAATAACTTTTTAAAAAGGTAAATACTTCCTTTCTCCAACAGGAGAGAGTGAATTCACAGTCACAGTCAAATCAAAGCAAAACAAAATTTCACAGTATAAAAGTCTCAGTGTTTGATGTCCATTCACAATCTTCTGGGCTCTAAAGAGACCGTGCCTTCAAATTTGCTATTTGCAGCACAGGACAGTGTGTGTCATAGACTTAGGCCGACTCCACTCTGCACATACTGTTGTCCTTTGTGGTTGTCCCATGGTACTAATATCTCCAGAATGCTGGGGTCTCTGCTGCAATTGAGTCTCATCTTCACCAATAGCTTCTGAGCTATTTCAGGGACTCTGACCTTGCCACATGCTACCAAACCTCAACTTTTCCAATGAGCCCTCCATCATCAGGCTTTTACTGCAAATGAAGCTACACTTTGACCAGTAGACTCTCACTGTGTCAAGCTTCAACTATTCTTCAAAACCAGTAACACCTGAGAGACTTTTACACATTACACACTAACCAAGTTCAGCTGCCAATACAAGTTAGGGCCTTGGCCACTTGTGGACCATGGTTTCTGTGTGCTAGTCCTGAGGAAACACCTCTCAGAAGATTTCACCTCAGTGATATGGTCTCTTATTCATCACTGCTCATTTCTTAGCACCAGATCATCAGCATTAGTTGTCCCAGTAAAGCAGTTTTCCTGTAGTGGTATTAGTCTCTAGTTAATTGCAGATGATTCTTTAGCTACAGCTGACAAGACATTTTGTGTTAACACAAAGTATCATGAAAACAAGCCACAGCAGGGTCTTTGTTTCCTTCTGACTCTTCACAGGTCAGACCTTCACCATCTCTCAACATTGCTCTCAACATTCCTGTCTGCCAAATTACTACAAAATGGACAATTACACTCTGAGCTCTTGATGGTTTCTCCAGCCCAAAGCTCTAAGGACCTTTCCCAATCCTCCCCCAAATATGGTCAGTTCTATCAAACCAACAGTCCATTCTTTGGTACCAACTTTGTCCTAGTTGTTGATTTTTGCTGTTATAAAAATGCAATGATTGAAAATGACTTCAGGATGAGATTCATTTCATCATATACTTCTGCATTACAGTCTGTCATTTCTGGAAGTTAGGGCAGAGATTCAAGAGTCAGGAACTGAAGTAGAAGCCCTAGAAAAAGAGTGTTTATGCACTTGCTCCTCGTAGCTGGCTCATCCTGCTTTCTTGTATGACCGAGAACCAACTGCCCAGTGGTAGCAACACACACAGTGGCCTAGTCCTACTTACATCAATAATTAATAAAGAAAGTGGCTTTGTGTATGAGCTATCTTGAGCCCTCTTTGTGCCAGGACACATTTCCTGGGAAAATCACTTCTCCTTATTGGCACCCCTCACCAAAAACCCTATGCTGTCTGCTAACCAACAATCCCTAATTCCAGACCTGCGTCTTTGAACCCTTTGTATATATATGAAACCCCCTTGCCTGACCTAGCTCTACACTCATGGTTTGGGAGTCAGCTTTCCTGGTTAAACAGGCAAAAAGCTCATCAACCAGCTTTACCTGACCTAACTCAAGTCACACATCTCCTTCATGGCCTAGTCTCAGGGAAACTAGACTATCATATTAGACACACAACCAAAAATTCCACATGCCTGGGTTAGAACACAAAAACAGAACCAATATGAATGGCCAAAACAGTATGTCCCCCATCAAACCCACTAGTCCCAAGTGGCAGAATTTAAAAGAACATTCACAAACTTTGTCAAATAACTCAGTGAATTTAAAGAAAATATGAATGAACACTTTACTTAAGTCCATGTTGATAAAAGTAAGTACTTGAGTAATGTCAGGATTTGAAGACTGAATTCAATAAAGATAAACATTAAAGGGAACACAAGCAAAAAATAACAATAAAATTGAAAAGCTTAATATCTTAACTAGAAAATGTAGGGAAAAAGTGTTCTTGTAGAAGGAATCAAGCAGAAAATAAAGTGTCAGGACTTGAAGATACAGTATATGCTTACGTCTTTGTTCCTGAGTCACATGAGGCTTGATCAATGCCAGTGTTGTCTGAGGAGGGAAGAAACATTCTATGTCTTTCTCAGCTACTGCCTTTGAACTGCTTCCATAGAACTGGTTAATAGGAAAAGTTCCTGTGGCAAACTGTGCACATAAACTTCAAAAGGGAGGCCAAGTCAAAATTCACATATAATATAACAATCTAATGTAATATAACACTACTTATTTAATTTGCTTAAAAAACATTATGCAACAGCAACCATCCATATCTAGGTACTGTGCAAAAGGAAGGAATTAGCAAGTGACTTGGATATACTATGTTCTCTCAGGGAGGTAGCAGACATTAGAAAGGAAATATGTGAACATTTAAATCCCATTGTCAATGGATATTTCAAAAGACAACTAGAAGAACAGGGACCCTAGTAGGGAAAAGGCCAGGACTATAATCAAGGCTAGCGACATGACCTCACTTGGTAAAATTAAAGTTCTCTATATAGTGGCATTAGGGTTAATCTTGATTTTCTCATAAGCATTTCAAAACTCTTATAATCAATTAAAGATATTGAAGCTTCGATCAAAGCTCTAATTGAGGTAATTTGTCATAAATTAGTTGGGTTCTTGGTTTCCAGGCCCAAGTCAAGCATCCCACCTTTTCTTGAAAAACTATAGTCATCTTTAAGTTTATGTTAAAGCAGATCTCCACTTAAAAACAGTCAATTACTCTACCAGAACAGCTTTCCCTCTCAGACTAAAACTATGCTTCCTGCATCTTAGACTTAAAAAGAAATTAAATTACATGCATGAAAAAAGGGTAGGGAATCATGGTGTAAGCAGTACCTCTCTGGATGATATGCGAAAGCATCCTCAACATTGTTTGGTCCCATTAACTGCTCCCAATATTCCACAGCATTTTCCCTCAGCAGTACAAGGATGTAAGATGGACTGCTGTTAGAAAAAGCAAAACCAAAGGTTAATGAAAGAATATCTTAGTAGCTAATGATATAAAGAGAATACAAGTGTGTATGTGTTGTTAAACTAACTGAAGTATTTCAAATGATCTATAAGGTGTCCAATGTTTATATATGTTGGCATTCATTCAATAGCATACGTACATGAGCTAGGAAGAAAATAGGAAGGAAATAACAGGACCTCAGTTCTTTAGAGGGGTTTCTTCTAGACTGTCATGCTCTGGTGGGTTTATGTATACTTGCTGGATTTTTGTTTCAGCTGCAGTTACTTCTCTAGATATCTGGTAAATTTCTAGCACCTCATTTTCTTCTTCAGGATGTGTGATACTGGATGTTATAAAAGGCCCCCAACAGAATAATCAGACTGCCCAAAGGGTCAAACAGTTCTCAGTTTACTTGGTGATGTTGCCTACTCTGGAATTCTGCATCAAACTCAACTGGAAACTGGTATGTATCTGTGTCCATGGGACCTATTATTTGCTATAAGGTTGAAATGAGTGGAAAATAGATCACAGAACTTTCAAACTCTGAACACCACTTTACCTGCACATGTAAGCCAGCAGTCTATTAAAATACTCTTCATTCTCATAGTTCTTGGACACTGTTCTGGCTTCTTCCTCTGACAATAATAGTTGCCTTTGCATCAGTATGGTGAACCCTTCATTCTGAATAATGTTCAAAACATCATCTAAAGAAAAACAATCATGACAAAGTAAGTTTCAAACTTTCAGATTCATGGCTACAAACACAATACATGATGCAGCATTGTGAGGTATCATATGTGTCTAAATTAGGGAAATGTAAAAGTTCACAAAAACAGCTCAGGTTTCAAAATGAATGGCATGTCTTCATACATCAATTTTATAATGTTGTTTCAAATTTTCCTACCACATAGCAATCATTCACCAACACACAAAGGAGCTGCGGGAAGTAATTTCTTTTGCTGCCCATGTACCATGTGTTTGCAGATATGTGGTGACCTCAAAGAAAACAGCCCCCATAGGTTCATATATTTGAATGTTTGGTCCTAAGTTGGTGGGACTTTGTAAAGGATTAGGATGTATGTCCTTATTGGAGGAAATGTGTCACTGGTTGTGTGCTTTGAGGTGTAAAAGCACATATCATTGCTAGTAGTCCTCTCTTTATGTTTATGCAACTTGAGATCAGATGTAAGCTCTTAGCAATTGCTCTAGTACCATGCTTGACTGCCTGCTTCCATGCTTCCTGCCATGATGGTTATGTACTAGCCCTCTAAGGCTAGTGCTTAGGCTTAGGCTAAGGAAGCACCCAATTAAATACTTTCTTTTTTATTTTTTCTTATTTTACATATTGATCTTAGCTCCCTCTCCTTCCCATCTTCCCAAGCTCCCAACCCCCACTGCCATCCAATTCCCCACCCACAATATGGTGGTTCATCGGAAAATGGGAATCTACCACAGGACCTGGCAATTCTGCTCTTATGCATATACTAAAATGATCCACATCCATGCAACAAAGACATCTATCTGTTCAACTATGTTCATAGCAGCATTATTTGTAATAGCCAGAATCTGGAAGCAACCTAGATACCCCTCAACTAAAGAATGGATAAAGAAGATGTGGCACATTTACACAATGAAATACTAGTCAGCAGAAAAAAATGGAATCTTGAAATTTGTAGGCAAATGGATGGAATTTGAAAAAAACCATCCTGAGTGAGGTACCCCAATCACAAAAAAAGGAACATAGTATATACTCACTCACATGTGGATTTTTGACATAGACTAAAGGATGACCAGCTTATAATTCAAACCTCCAGAGAAGCTAGGATACATGGAGGACCCTAAGAGAGACATATAATGTCCCCCACAGGAGGGGAAAGGGACAAGATCCCCTAAATACTTTTCTTTTATGAGTTGAGTTGGTCATAGTGTCTCTCCACAGCAATAGAAAAGTAACTAAGACAAGATGGTAACCTAAATATTTAACCAATTCTAATATAAATATTTATAAATAGCAGGCTATTATTTTACTTGTCTATTTGGGAAGAAATATGTTGACTGAATAGCTAAAATTATTTCTCAATCTCCTTCTCACTAGCCTGCTTCTCTCTGTTGAAGACCAGAAAATAAATCATTTTCCATTTCTTCCTCATGAACAATATAGAAATGAACCCATATGCGGGGTTTGACATGTAAAAAGAACATGTTGAGATGGTTCTGAAACATGTACCTAGGAAAATCTCCCTGTTCTTCATTGGTTTTCTGCTTCAGATAGCTGTGGACAGGATGCTTGGTTCTATAGACACCAATGAATAAACCAAAAATACAAATCTTAACTCAGAGCCCAGTCAGTATTATGCCTGGATGATATTTTTTTCCAACCATAATCAAAGAGTATCAAATTAAGGAAGACATATACAAGGATAACCAACCACCACTCCAGGTAAGCGTGGTTTCATTAGCCAAAACAGCATAATGGGTTGTCACTTAACTGTCAATCATATTAGCCTAAAATTATCAAAAATTGAGACTAGACTCAAACCAAGAACCAGTAGATTACGGTGTCTGAGAAATAGTTTCAATTTGTTTTTCCCCCTTTGTCATCATCCCAGCAACTTCAAGTAGCACTAAGGTCCCTGAGCCATGACAATATGCTATTTTCTTAGCCTCTGTTAAAGAAAACCAATTCTGGTTTAACCAATACCATTTCATAAACTCTTCTGATTTTTCTGGCATTGACTACAGTGTATTTGCTTTCTTGAGAAAAATGGGAAGAATGTTGTCCAGTAATGGAGGTTGGGTGCTCAAATGCAATCCAAACCAAGGCATCTGACATGGACTATAAATCATGTTAAACATTGGAGAGAAAGAAAAAGAGAAGTGACGGAGAGAGAGAGAGAGAGAGAGAGAGAGAGAGAGAGAGAGAGAGAGAGAGAGAGAGACAGACAGACAGACAGACAGACAGACAGACAGCTGGAGTTGAATTTAAATTTGGAGCAAGTCTGACTCAGAGTAGAGGCAAGGTGCACATGGGAGGAGGAAGGCATGGGAAAGTTGAGAAACTTTCAAACACAATAAACAATCTGTTGAAGAGATGTCATTACACAGGAACAAAGAATCAAGGACAATCTAAGGGTAATGAGATCCCATCAAGGTTTTGGGTTTTGTGAGTGTATCACTAAATTATGTTTATTAACCTGTTGGAGTATATCCCTATTGTAACCAGAAAACTTCACTCTTGGGGGGGGGGGAGAAGGCAATGTTGGAAGAGAATAGGGGGCATCTGCAGGTGGACAATCCTTGAGAAGAAGAGATGGCATACACAGAATAGAAAATGGCTAGGCATCTGATGAGTCATATTCAGCAAAGAGCCAAGGATGATGCTTTTTCATTTATAGAGTAATAAGGCACGTGTAAATGGAAACACCTTCAGCTTTCTGTCACTAACACTCTTCTAATCTGCAGGTCCTGAGAATCTCTCTCTTGCTGCAGAGGAAATAAGGTCTGAAGCTAATCTTCACACCTCTTCTACAGAAATCATTTCTGCCTGGCTCTATTCACGGCCAGTCCTTCAGCTAATTAATCACATGGCACAATGCAAATACAAAAGACTCAAAAGTCTAACCCTAAAATGGATGATATTACGGGGAAAAACAGCTCTAGTCTCACAGCATTAAACTTCTCAGAATATTCCTACTACCTAAGGAAGTATTATTGACCAAATACCAAGGGTGATCAAAAATTGAGACTAGACTCAAACCAAGAACCAGTAGATTACGGTGTCTGAGAAATAGTTTCAATTTGTTTTTCTCCCTTTTAACATCTGTATATTCAACCAAATGTAACTTGTAAAACAGTTAGGAATGCCTGTAAGGCTGTTAAATGTATATTGAGCACATACACATTTTTATTGCTTTTCCCTAAACAAACTATAAGAACTATTTACATTTACATTTCTTTACATATTGCAAGGCTTATAGAGACAATCTGATGTACACTGTGGCAAGATGTACACCACTTATATATGGGGTTGAGTGTCCTAGGATTTTGCATTCAGAACAACTCTGCAGCCAACCTCTGAAGACATTAAGAGAGGAGTGACCTCAGGAAATAACATGTAACCACTGTCTGAAAATAAATAAATAAGTAAATAAATAAATAAATGAGGTAGAATTCTGAAGGATGAATTATGTGGTATGAAGATCATATTTCTTTAAAAAGATGCTCAAAATATATTTATGTAATTAAGGATATATATATATATATATATACATATATATATATATACAGAGGAAAATGTTTAATTTCATTTTTAAAAAGAGTTTAAATATTCCAATTAAATTGCCAATAGTTATAAAGATAACTTGTAAATGCACAAGGCCCCAGTTTCACTCACCAACACTACAAATAATAACAATTGTAATATTAATATATAACATATCTTGACAGAGATGCTAAATACTTTTGAGAAGTGAAAAGTAAATTAACAATAAACTTCAAAAATAAGCCAATATGAGGGTACATATAACAGTCTTTATAAATGGTCAGTTATACACAGGAATCTTTCAAGTCTAGGAATAGATTATAAATACAGCAAATGATACTTAAAGATACTAATTATAGCATTAATTCAAAATTTAAAATATGAAACAATGTAAGAGCATATAAGAATATGAGGGGCTAGAGATAAGGCTGGATTAATAAAGTGCTTGTCTTGCAAGCATGAGAACCCCTGTGTTTGATCCCAAGAGCTCATAGAAAAAAAAAAAATACAGGCATGACTGTGATCCCCATACTGAGGAAGCAGAAACAGGTGAATCCCAGGGTTCACTGGCAAGACTGCCCAGAATACTCCCAAAATTCCAGACTGGTGAGGGAAACTGTCTCACAAACAAAAGTAGATGATGTCTGAGGAATGACAGCTGATAGCTCAGGTTGTTCTCTGTATAACACACACACACATGCACACTCACACGTACACGCGCGCACACACACACGCACCACAGAGGACCCACAGAAACAGGCATGCAGTTAGTCACACATGCATATACTCATACCAAAGAACAGGAAGTACTTAGACTTTTATAATGCAATATAAATATTTTGTTTTAAAAAAATAAAGACATAAACCACCATGTTGTGATGTTAAACTGAAAAGAAATATATAAATATATCTGACTGTCTTTCTCTTTTCTCTCTCCCTGTGTGTCTGTGTATATGTGTGTATAAATCCCAAAAGAAAGTTTACCAAACTGCTAGTGAAATTTTATGAAAACTATGATTCCTTCTAAATTTGTTTTTTCCAAATGTTATTAAATGGTTAATATTGTTTACATAAGGTCATTTTTAAATGACATTTCTCAAACACAGGCTTTGAAGACTTTTAATATGGAAAATGTTGGTGAAACAGATTGGGAGTATGAAGAAGCAGGACCCTTGGAGGATAAGATCAGGGTAGTACATGTTAGGACAGTGTTCAATGCACACACAAACATTCCTTGTGCTAGCTCTTAGAGGTGCTTGAAAATTACACACATATTTGTTGCATGCATTACTGAAGTGCCATGTGATGTTTCACTTTCTTCTAGTGTTATGAGATACACAATACAAGGCTGCTGTTTGATATTCCCCATTATGCAGGCTCTCACTTGGACTTCTCATTACCAACTACAACTTCATGGAGTGTTCACTTAGCCACCCTTCCCAC